TTTTAAAAATAATTTTTTTTGTTTTTTATTTTTTTAAATTAAACATTTATGAAATAGTGTATATAATTATTTATATTATTTGAAAAAATAAAAAAATAAAATAAGATTTTTATTATAAAATAATTAATCAAAATAAATAAATAATAAAATAAAAATAAAAATAATTTATTATTTAAAAATAATAAAATAATTAATTTAATTATGTCCTATATAGAAAGTTTACATTTCAGAAAAGAGATACCTAGTCCGATTTAACCGTTGATGGCGGGTCGTCATTGAAAATTTTAATTAGGCTCTCGCGGAATGTTCTGTCGTTTTGTTAATTTTTTTTGTTTTTTTGTTTTACTTTTAAAAAATTTTGCAAATAGTTGAAAATAAAATTAAAAATTAAAATCTAACTATTTATTTATATAAGCTTTAAGACTAATTATTAAAAATTAAATTCATCTACAAGTATTAAAATGTTATGTTCTTATTTTGAATAATACATATAAGAGTAAGTAAATTTTTTGTTTATCTTAATTGATATTTAAGTAAACGAAAGTTTATAATTTTTTATTATAAATCTTGATTTTAAATTTTGAGATGAGTAAATTGTAATTTAAAAAATATACACATATTTTTATTTTATAACTTATATCATTAAATTAAGAAAAAATAAATCTCCTATTGTATCATATACAATAATACGTTTAGTTGTATAATAATCATTTAACTTATATAATTTTACATATAACTTTATTTTTTTTAATGTATTAAAATAAGTTATTTAAACTTGTAAGTGAAAAGAGACGGAGAAGGAGAAGTACAAGTTTCAATTTCTATTATGATAGTATTGAAGTCTTTTATACTAATGTTAAAATTACTTCAACTATTAAGTTTTCATTTATAACTCACTTCCAATAATACTAATTCTTATTGTCTTCCTTTACAACCGTGGAATTAACACAAGGCATAGCATCACAAAATAAGAAAATAAGTAATTACTTTATTATTTTAATACATTAAAAGTTAATTATTTTATATTATAAAAATTTTAACTTTTATTAACTTGTAAAAATTAAAAATTACATCATAAATTAAAAATTAAAAATATAAATAATTTAACTATCAAATGACATGATTAATGATAAAGTTTTAACCTTTTTCTTTAACTCAAATTTAAAGATTTTTAAATTAATATAATATATAACCAACTTCACAATACTGTTGTTGATATTTTATCATTCTTTT